AAGAGAAAAAAGAGAAGAGGAGAAAAGGAGAAAGGAGAAAGGGAGGTGAAAAAAAAGAAGAAGGAAAAGGAAAAAGAAGAAGGAACAAAAAGAGAGAAGAGATATGGAGTGAATAAAAATAAAAAGGAAAGGAAGGAAAAAGAGAATATAAAGAAGGTGGGGAAAAAAAAGTAATTAGTATAAAAAAGGGCGAAAAGGAAAAAAAAAAAAAAATGAGGAGAATTTTTTAGAAGAGGGAGGGAGAAAAGCCCCCCCCCCCCACCCCCCCTGCCCCTTAGTAAATCCGCCACTGTATATATGGAACAAAAAAATTATTCATAATTTAATCTTACTTTGTACTATGAAACAGGAAGGTTATAAGACAATGTATATATGTACTAAAAAAACAATATACAGTAAATGACATTATATATACCTATGAGAAATTGTCTTACTGTCTTGTAAGAGATGATAATAAAAAAGGCTTTACATGCAAAGATTAAGTATAAGCAAAAAAAACTCTCACCTGATTGGTCGTGTCTCGATTTCTTTAACGCCTCACTTCTCTATTTAGTATAAATTCAAAATAATGATTATTATTTCCAATTTTCATCACCCTAGCTCAAAATTCCGACATTCGAGTGTCCCGTTATATATCGGGCTTAATTAAAATTAGCCACCGATAATTTCTGATTGATTTGAAGCAGAAGAATCAATTAATTCAGGAACTTGATCAAGTAAGAAGTTCATATCATCTGGAAATTCACCCTTCGATCGATTTGTTCTACCTCCTACAACCACAGCTGTTCCGTCTTGAAAGGCCCATATCTTTTTTTTTTTTTATTATATTTATTAGTGTATGGAAAAATTCAAAAGAATTAGTAATTTAGTATAAGCTTCTATGATAATAAAAATGATACAATAATATATATATATATATATATATATATATATATATATATATATATATATATATATATATATATATATATATAGAGAGAGAGAGAGAGAGAGAGAGAGAGAGAGAGATAGATACCTGAGAATGAGATAAAAAACTGATGCAAGTGGTGAGCATGAGAGCACCAAAACCAGCATAAACAATTGGCACTCCTGGATCGGTCTGTGTTCGACACAAATTTAACACCGTTAAAAATGAAAAATGATATAATTTAACTTTCTTATAAATAATTATTATGACATCACCTTTAGTTCAAGGCCAGTACTGCCAATTGCTTCTAATACAACAATCTTTACGCCATCAATCTCGATCGGAAGATTCGAATTCGGCCTTCTCACTCCTGCAAATTTCCCTTCTTGATCATATAGGACAATCGATTGCATATCACGAGCAAGCATTGATCTGATTATCGGGAACAAGAAGAATAAAAACAGCGTGACAATAATAAAAAATAATACAATAATAATAATAATATACCCTGTTTAAGAAAATTATGTACATACATTCCCTTGAGATTAGTAGAACCGGAATTTTCAACAGGCAAAAAGGTTCCGTAAAGCCTCTTATCTCCATTGGTTTTCAACGGTGCCAAAGCCAAATTAAACGGCCCTTCATCATCTTTCATTACCTGTAATGCGGACAAACTCCAATCCGTCTGGTAAATAGTAATCCCACCATATCTCAAAGGGTCATTCACTTTTATCGTCTTCTTCATTATTTCTTTTCCATTAAGATCATACAGCGAAAGATCGCTGTGAAACTGCGATACCTGGCGAATCAAAAACACAAAAAAAACAAAAAAAAATTTAAAAAATTTGAATTAAGAGAGCAGTAATAAAAAAAAAACGAAGAGGTAATGATTTTTTATGTTTCCACCTCTCCACTGTCGTAGTAGTCCATGTAGAATCTATCTACATGAACCTCGGTGTTGAAAGATTCCGAAGGAGTGGATAAGAATCCGATTGGTCCTAATACATCTCCTATTACAAAGTTTAGACCTTGTGGAACTGTTACCGAGCCTCTGAAACTTCCGGTTGCACTAAGTGTTCCACCGACCATTATTAACAGCAATGCTAGGTGTACTCCGATGGGAGCAAATCTACCTGCCATACCCTTGAATGCGTATAGTGATGGTCCCTTTAAGAATACCTAAATAAATAAACCGATTGTCTTTATTCGGCACTCATTGTAAAGGTGAACGAACGAGCAAATGGAAGATTATATATACAGTTTTCTTGATCAAGAAAAACAACGAGCGACAAGTATGGTATGATGCTATTTTGTATCCGAGCAAAAAAGTCTTGTTTCACGTATTTAAATACTATCTACGAGTTTTCAAGAAACACTTGGTAAGGAAAAATGTAAAGATATTCACAGTGCACAAGTATTATTAGTCAAGACGAGGGTAAAGTGTTATTTATACTTCATATCCGTTGCCCATTAGAATGAGACCCAAATCCTTAATCGAAGCTCTGGGTAAGGTATCGGAATATTCCTGCTTACGGATACTCTTGGCTGATTGTAAGAAGGACCATCTGAAAAAAAAAAATGGATTTATATATATCAACTACAAGTATACCCAAGGTTACAACAAGAGAAAAGACGCCGAATTATAAGATACACAAAGAAATTAAACAAACCTTTTTGCTACCTTCACAATGGGAATCTGTGTAGTAGAAGTGCAAGCCATAAGTGATGCTGCAAGAAGAGTTAATGTTGCCAAGAATACCGGAGATGAGAACATATGGTCAAATCCGAGTGCGAAAATCCACTTCCATGTGAAGAATCCCAAAATAGGACTGTTTTCGGAGTACTTCTGAATATAGAAATCGGGCGCCTCGCCTTGCTCAATGAAAGTTCCTGCAAAAAAATAAAATAAATTAACTTAACGATAACCACAATGCAATTTTTGCTACGATCGAGACCTAATTGTCCGATGTATTCTGCATAAACTGAGAAGTTCTTTACCAAAGAAAATACACCACCATGGCAAAACTTACCTAAGTAACACTATTGTGAACAAAATAAGGAGCACTATTAATAAATTAACCTCCCTTGTGCCCTAATAGGTGTTCTTAATGTTCAATTTAAAAGGGGGGAAAAGCTCACAGAACAACTAAATATGCCCTAAAAATAAAATTAACAGTATTATAATACCTATTGCCATCAAAGCAGCAACAGCAAACATCTCAGCAATCGCCAGGGGCAAATTGGAGAGAATCGACAACACTTTTTTAGGCAAACCCTTCAGCCTCCACGAATCGACCTTCGGCGGTGGTAATTTTGGATTTCCACCACTTCCGGCGCCGGAAACAGCCGGAGCTCCGCCAGGATCAGGTGCTTCAATTTTAGTTGCCGTGCCCTTGTTCTTCTTCTTGCCCTTGTTAATTCTACTCTCATTGTCAGAGGTTTTGAGCTGCGCAAAAACGGTGGTGTTGGTGGTGAAAGAGAGAGTGAGGGTTCTGCCATTTCCGGTACTGCATGAAGTGTAGAGACAGTAATAATTGTTGGGGAAGGGTAATTGGGATCCGAATTTGAATGCATTTCTGGTGTTGTGCAATTGAAGTTTTGATTGAGTTACTACTGAGTTCAGGTTCTTCATCTGAGTTACTACTGAGTTCAGATTCTTCATCTCTGATTGAAATATCTGAAAATTTTGGAGAAATTCTGCAATTTTTTTTCTTTTTCAAAGTGATAGAATTTGGAAGGCAAACGATCGAATAACGACCGTGCTTTATCCACAATGCAATAATAATAATAATAATTATTATTATTATTATTATTATTATTTTAAAAGTGAAAATAATAGATTAGTTTAATACATAACAATAGCAATTATAATAAATTTTATTAGTGATACTTGAAACATTATTAATATTTATACTAATTTAATAATACAAGTTCATTTTTTGAAAAAAAAATATATATTTAATTGTCATAATAGGAAATTGTTCATTAAATAAATTAAGCAAAGAAAAACCAGAGAAAAAAATAGAAGATAAAAATAATAAAAACAATTAAAAAGATATTGTGAAAGTGGATTACGGCACATTAAAAAAATGTGGCGGCAAACATATTTATATACGGTAGAACCTCGATAAATTAATAATCTCAATTAAATAATAGTTTCTCCTGATGTAGAGTCGGTGAATATGTGCTAAATTATTAACTCAATAATTTAATTGTTTACAAATTAATAGAATTTATCTGATTCCAACTATATTAATTTATAGAGATTTTTTTTTGATACTGCGATACTCTATTAGCTGATTCTGCAAACACGAGAAATATTTAGTAATTTTTTTTTTAATATTTTAAAAAAAAAAAATCCTTTTATTTTTACCCCTTATGCTAAATATCGTCGAGTTGAGCTGATTTAAATCTATTAGTTTTTTTTTTTTTTTTTTTTTTTTTTTTTTGAAGTTGGGAAATTGATGATTTTCTATTCCTCTATTTATCGGCTAAGAAGTTTTGTTTTTTTTTTTCTGTGCGTGGATTCGTATCGAGTAGGCGTGGCCATTTGTTTTTAATTGAAGGAGATACATTATTAAATCCACGCATATTGTTTCGTTTGGATTAATGTGGGTCGATCGATCGGTTACTGGAGTTGGAAATTTTCGTAAAATAACTATCAATTTGCACGATTCGATAGGGAACGGATTAAATTTCATGTTAGGCTGCGGCTATATGCAATACTCAATCCACTTGTGCAAGACCAAATTAAAGAAAGATTCCAAAAAATTCTATTTTATTAAGATGGAATGACAAGTATGCCCATAAATTAAATTGACTTTTTTTTCTCATGTAAGACCAAATACAAATAATGAGAAAAAAAACAAAAATCGACACCAAGGTGTCGAAAAACTATGCTACAAATCGACACTTAAGCGTCGAATTTCATAGGTAAAAATCGACATTGACATGTCGAATTTGTAGCACAAATTCAAATCGAATTTTATACCTAAAAATCGACATCTAAATGTCGAATTTTATACCTCAAATTCGACATCTAAATGTCGATTTTTACCTGTAAAATTCGACCTGTACATGTCGAATTCGTTTGCGCGGGATTTTTTTTGGAAAATCGATATTCTAGCTAAAAAAAACCCATAAATGCATACATTCTTGGGTTCTTTCATCGTAGAATCTTCTATTTTGATGTCTTCTGACTCCATACTTGCCATCTTTGTAAGATTTGTTGAGTTTTGATGATTTTGAATTTCTAGGTTTGGTGGGTTAATGGAGGAGGAAGGAGAAAGGTCTTGTGAGTTTTGGAAGATGGAGAAGATGATAGTTGGTCTTGTGGTTTTGTGGTCTTGTGATAGGGTTTTTTGTGTTTTTGAATTTTTGGTCTTGCATATTTGAAATTTTTTATTTTTTTAATAAATAAGGGTATTATAGTATTTATACATTGAAAATTTTAACTTGGTCTTGCACAAGTGGAATTAGTCTTGCATATAGCCGCAGCCTTCATGTTATAGCGCAAAGTGTGAGTGATTTCGAAAGCAGTTGTTTTATGAATTCGTCTTTAACCTCATTATAGTCAATTATCGACTATTATGCAGAGTCGTTCAGAAAACAATGTACGATTTTGTTTGTCCAAATCAGTTTTCTTTCATGTAATACATTGAAACTTATGCTTAATCAATCATTAACTAGAGTTCGGTTTCGAGTTCTTAGTTATTGGATGATGAATATGTTGAATTCTTGTATTTTGTGATAAACTTATTTTTTGCTTGATAGAATTTCCACGAGTTCAATTATTATATTACATTTGTTTCGTATGTTCTAATAATTGTATATAAATAGAGGGATGACAAATTCATGCCCGAGCTAGCTCAGGAAATCCAGACGAAAATGGTAAAATGTCATTTTGATAAACACTTCAATTTTTTGTACCGATGTAAGTTTATCAATGAATATATATATATATATATATATATATTTTTTTTTTTTTTGCAGCATCTGCATTCGTTAGATCTCCTGTCGAAACACGATGAGATGAAGAAAGATTATTATGTAGCAAGGTATATGCAATAAACTCTTTTTTTTTTATTTTTTAAATTCAACTATAATAAATATATTTAATTTTATTTACTAATAATAAATATTTGAAGCTTAGTGAGAAACACACAGAACATAATACACAGTGGAAATTAATTAATAGTTCAAATACATATTAAGTTATTACATAGCACAGATAATTACAAATCAACCTACAGACAAACAAATTTCCACTTCCCAATTTATTCAGGCAAATGAGAAAACAAAACTCAAGCTATAACTTAAGACACCAATTAAAAAACAAAATCTATTCAACTAAAAACAAATATACAATTTGCATGCATACCCCCAATCAAGAACCAGCTTACTTTTATGCAAGAATCAGATGCAAGATTATCGAAACACCGAGAAGAAGAAACGCAATCTTCCAAGCAAGCGGCTTCCACTCTATAGGAGCCGACTGATAGTTATGAAAGCCATGAACGTATCCACCGTGAAAGGAACTCGAGAACAAATACGGTACCCCTGAAGTTGCCCCGTACAAAGTACCATCGTGAAATCCGTGCACATGGAGGTTAAAAATCGTCGGTAAAGCAGCAAAGAAGGTCGAGAGTGTTTGATGACCAAAACCCTCATTTTGTCGGGCGTAATTCATATCCACGCGTGGGGCAGTTGGTGGCCGCTGCCCCATTGGTCGATTCGGAACAGAAACTTCCGGAAACAATCGAGATCTTGGGTCGGAATTCGATTTGCCTCTGCCGTAAATGGGAATCAGTTTCTCCTCGTGTACGATTGCTTTACAAACGGGGCATTCGTGTGAGTTGGAGTGGAGTTGGAGCCATTGGTAAAGGCAGGGCCAACAGTAGAGATGCCCGCAGAGAGTTACGATTGGTTCTTGTGCCAAATCGAAACATATGTTGCATTCGAAATTTGCTGCGTCGGGTGCATGAGAGGCGTCTGTTGATTCGTCAATCCCGTAATCCATATGTACAATTTTCGAGCGCCTCTGAATCTGTTCCATTCGTAGACAGAAGGGCAAAAAAGTAATCGAAATTTACAATGACGAAGATTGAAGAGAGCGAAATTCTAATCAGTCAAACATCTTCATCAATTCATCACTGATTGGATTTAATTCTAATCGAAGAACGAAGAAAAGACGAAAACAGCACCCCACACCACTGTAAACATGAAAATCTATGGCAAATCAAATATTATAAACTGTAAATCAAATCAATTTCATATTGTCTATTTATAATTCGAGAATTTTAATTTAAATTCCAAACCATTTGGCCGATCAAATGCCAATTCCAAAAGAATCAAGTCCCACTACACACTACTTCATACGATCACTAATCCGCCATTACCAAATCTCAAAGCACCCAAATCAATGAAACGTTTCCCAAACCCTAACAACATCATTTTACCCAAAAATAAAAAGTGAAATCGACAGATAATTTCATCGGAATTTGATAATTACCTGAAAATAAAGCAAAAATGAATAATTAAATAAAATAGATCTAAATCACAGAGGTGAATTCATGCAGATCAGACAAAAATTTTGCAATGCGCGCATGTATGAAAAGGAGTGATAATTGAAAAATCTAACCTGCAGGAGTGGCAAAATAGAATTGGGTAGGTAGGTGGGATTTGAGGAAGACGACGCAATTGTATTGTATTTGTATTTGTATTTGTATTTGTATTTGTGTGTTATTACGAGTGACCAAAAAGTAAACATAATAAAGGACGATAATTTAATGGTTTTATAGGGACTTAAATTTAAATATAGGGAAATAAATTGATGTATCGATCGGTGTTTAATGAGCCCCCAAATGTCAGTTGGTCGGTGTCCGTACTAGGTGATTGAGATTATACTCCCAATGAAATACACCGGGTAATATTTAATTGTTGATGTAGTGAAATAACTTTCAATAATTTCCAGGTAATCTCGTTAAATAAGTTTAGTGTTTGTTTAGTAATTCGATGATAATTACAGCCAAAATCGAAATTGGTATTTTTTTTCGTTATAACATCCAATTTTCGCTATACTTGTATTCCTTGTTAATTCAGTGCAACTTTACGAATGCGCGAAAGCTACGGTGTTTCGAAATTCTAATATCGAGACGACGCGAAAACAACCAATCTTGAAATTTGCATGCAAGGAAATAAATGTCTGAGTTATACAGATAGATGGCGTTAACAAATATTTGAGGTATAATCAAAATCATATTTTAAAATTGAAATACAAAAACTATCCTCTAATAAATTAAAATCATGTTCGAACAAAAATATATATTAGTAATTTAAAGAAAAAAACGTGAATACAGAGAATTAAAACGATCAAGGTTGATTTACCGGGAGATAGTTAAACAATCAAATCAGGTTTGTTTGGCTACGAGTTGTATGTCAGCTCCAACTTCGGCAATCTTGGCATCTTTCGATGCCTTTGCGGTTGTGGCAATATTTAGAACATCAAAATCCAAAGCCACTCTTTTGACTAGTCCTTCAAGCATCTGCAAGTACCAAAATTAAATAAATTGGCTACTATCAGTATTCAATTAATTCATGTTGCGTGCACGTATATCAAACGAAAATTGATCAAAGAAGCCCACATAAAAAGAAAAGGTTCGGTTTTTCCACCAACCGAAAAATATATACTTGAATTATTGAAGTACGTCAAATATTAGAAAGCCTACCAGTGAGCCAATGGCTACCAAAGCCCGAAACCTTGAATCAGAATCAATAGTTTCATCTTCTGCCATCTTCGAAATATTAAAGAAACATGTTAGTTACATCTTTTTTTATTTTTTTTATTTAAATTTATTTTCCATACATAAATGGAAAGAGAAAAAAGATATGCGGAAAAATGATACCTCCAATGCTGCTGAAAGAACTTGAGACTGGCCCTCCTCGTCCTTTTTCTCGATCAGAAGAACAGCATAACTGCAGAGCTCAAAACGAGTGTCAATTATAAAGTCAAACCCATGTATTGACTGGGAAAACACGTGGACCATAATTCATAATTTTAGAGACACTGCAGAAATATGTCCCACACTGATGATAATTTGCAAGTAATTTTAAATGATCGATAGATAAGCCGGGAAGAAATTGTATCATCTCAAATGGCACAACAGAACTCATAAACACATGATTGGGTCCCAAACCTTAAAGCGGAACTCAATAAGTTTGACCCATTATTAAACCGAGAATAAATAAATAGTGTTTTAAAATTCATTTTTTCCACATAATAAAGAGTCAGAGAAGAACAAACGAAAACAGATTAAGAGTCAAAATAAATTTAAAAATTGAAGTCATTCATCCTGCTACTTACTTGAGTATTAATGTTGCATAGGCCATTTGTACATTCTTATTTGGAGATGAGCCACAACTTGAGAAGGCATCAAGAATCTACAAAATCCGTAAAAAGAGATTTGCAAAGAAGTATATAACCTACGAAAGCCAACTGTACGACGAACAACGATTACCTAGAAACTTACTTTTTTTTGACATATATTTTCTACAGAACTTTCTTTAAATCAAAGATACGAACTAACCTCAGAGCGATGTAGTAGTAACCACTCATTGAAGTAACCATTTTTGAACATATTAGTCACAGCTCGTAGGCTGGTAAGAAGATTTGCAGGAAGTGGAGAACTTGCAGTTATCTTCTTGATCAACTCAATAACTATACCTGCTGAAAAAAAATATTTGCTTTCTATTACTACTACCCTGAACGATAATTTTGAAGAATCGTATAGAATATTTTTTATAGATTTGCATAGAAAATGGTAGGAAGAAAATCCAGTTAGGTACCATCTTCATCCTTGAAATATTGCAGAAGCGTGGCCGCTCCATCTGGATGCAGTACAATCATCCTCATAACATCAACAACTGCAACCGTTGGTTGTAATTTAATAAGACAATAAAGAAAAAAAGAGAATCTGCATAATTTGAATAGACAGCAAATTTAATTCCTTCCATTTAGAACACAGTGGAACAGTGTTGAATTTAAAAGTGGGTATATCGCTGCCATGTGTAGAAAATAACCTAAATGGCAAGTCGTCTCATAGGCTGAAAAACTAACGCTTCATTTTCCATTTTAGGTTGTTATAATTAGCATCCAAATGTGAAAATAAATAGTTGAAACCGCAGCAGAAATAGGCAACGGAAACAATCCAACCTAAGCAGACATTTAAAGAGCTCAAGCTATCATAACAAGCCAAAAGAACATCGAGTTTGGTTCATATTGTTGGAGTGAGACTTGAACAAGATTTTCAAAAATAGATCGAGCAGCTTATAAATTAAAACGATTCCACACCTATTTATTTCTCAACCAAGTTGCATAAAGTTCAAAAAAAAAACATAAGTTGTACAAAGTTTAGTTACCAGGAAATAGCAATTCAACTGGCCATGTTTTTAGCAATTTCAGCACCATTGCAACATCAATATTTGAGAATCCACTGCTATGATAGTGTGATGTGTCTTTTAAAATCTTCACTATGGCACCCCATCTTGACATATCACCCTCGTTCAATGATAAATGTTGTTTCTCCTTCACAAAAAATACTTACAAACATTTCAAAGAGGATCCAAATAGTATATAATTTAGCATAAAATGCTGAAGCAAACAGTTTACCGGGTCAGACTGCAGGCCATTGTTAAACTCGGAAATCTTTTTGAGGATCCCATCAAACTGAGCGACATCGAATACAAGCACTCCTTTCTGCACGACAAGGAAATACGACATGCCCTTAAATTACTTTTGGTGAAAAGAAATCACAAACATCTCAATTATTTATATCCTTTTTATGATTCTACTACACCTTATTTACTCTGTGTCAGTACCTCGATATATTTCTAGTCATTCTAAAATTGATATTGTACTTTAGCCTATCAGCTATCGCTATTTCAGTGATCAGCCAACCAACGTTATCTTTTTTAAGTAGTTATCTAATGCTTCTAGTCATATACATCTAGATTCTACGCCATGTGCTCAATGTTACTTCGACAAATTTTGTGCTCAGTGTTACTTCGACAAGTTTCTACTTACTAAGCCTCTCTCATGCGCAACTAGATAATAATAGATGATATTATACATCCAAATGTGGGGAAAAACTATGTAGTAATAGTGTATAACCTAAGGAGTGAATTAAACTTTAAATAAATAAAAAAAGGCAGGCAGAAGTTGGAATATTACTTTTGGGATGTGCTTGTAAGATGGCTTTGTCACACCTGCATTTATAAATAAAAATTACAACCTCTTTCATAAATAACATCACAACAAAGAGAAAAAGTGAAATAACCTGGCGATCTTGACGATGCTCCGGGTACATAAGCACTAGCTGAAGTAAAAATGAAATATTACCCGTTAAGAGTGAATGACATATTAGAGGTATCTCCAACAATGTTTTGACATAATAAACATATGGTCTTACATCCAGTGTAGGGGTCTCGAAACAATGGATCTGGAATAAAATCTTTTTGTCCGGTATTTTGCAGAATAAATTCCACAATTTGTTCCCGATAAGAAAGAGGTAAATTTTCCTTGAGTAGCCACTTATCAGCCACATCATATGGATTTTCTGTAAGAAGATCGTCATTGTTACAATGTCAATGTAATGGAAGATTATAATAAAATACTTACCAAAAAAGAATATCATACATCAAGAATATACCTGATCGGTTGTAAGGCAATTTACGTATAGGTTCACCATCTCCAATGTCAACATCGAAGACTGTAAGACATATTATGCAACTTGTCATTGAAAGGAAACGGAATATGAAGATTCATGAGAATTTAATTATAGTAGAAATTTCTAACCATGGTCGTACTGAATTCCATCGAGTAGAGGACGCTTAGTAGTATCATCAGGTCCATCAACAACTTCACCAATCTATGAGTAAAGAACGAAAAAAAATTAATGCAAAACCAAAAATAAAGGACTAAAAGGGAGAATATGGAATATTCCGAAATCCAGTAACCTTTAAATTCAAGACAAACATTTACTTTCAGGAAGAGAAAACAAATAAGCATAAGTATGGAAATGCAATATATTGTTGTTACCTTATCCCACTTCTGTTCTCTCATATTCCATGCATAAGCCACACCGTTATCTCCCTCTCGAACTACCTTTGTCTGCCCATCACTATTTCCTGATGATTTTATCATTGATAGAGTTTTGCATGTTAAGTATAATAGAACTTCTGCTGGTTCACTTCGAAAGTTAACATACTCCACTAATGAATCAGGCACTATGAGAAAGTACTAGGTAATTATGTCGGTCGATCATACCTGGAGTTTTCAATGAATCTAGACCTGGCAAGTCTTCCAATTTCAACCCTCCAACTCGTTTCCTAATGCACAATAAAGAAAGACATCAAGAAAATTGTAACTAAGATATTTCAAAGCATCTCAATACCCTCCCTATTCACTAAACCACTACAAGTCCAGTGTCTTATTGATCAACTCATGAAATATTTTTTAAAATAAAAAGGAAAAATAGCTACCTAACTAAGTGTTTGAGATATTATCACAAAACACCAATATTCCTTTATGTTATCTGAAACAATTGCATATGTAGCAAGAGAACTATAATAAATTAAGATATTCAGCGAGCTTAAGAGTTACAAGTTTCATAAATTTAATAGTCCAACTTAAACAACAGCGACCTGAACTTGGTATATCACCGAATAGAAAAATAAGTTAAGAATAGAAAGAATGGACTCAATACCTACTGATCTTGTATTCAGAAAGTTGAGTAGCAAATGAATCACGTTCTACAGCATCCGCAATCTTATCATGATCTACAGTCCATATACGTACAATCCCATCAGAGCAAGCAGTCACAATGTCACCATTTTCCAAGAATTTGGCATCCCAAACGCAACCAGGATGCTCTATGCTTTGCACACAAACTCCATCTGCAAGAAAAGATGATTTTTCATGCCACAAGATAAGAAGCTCAAATCATGATATTAAATCTATCTTAATGAAATAAAAACAATAATTTCTTATAGACTAAATCTAATGAAAATAGCTGTCACCATTACGAGCTCCATTGAATGTAGTAAAACCAAATAGCTTGACCTTTCAGATCAGCTTTTATTATCCTCAAAAAAAGACGACAATGTTACTTAGTTTTACTATTAGAAAAAAAAGGCAATCAAGCATATTTTATAGAGTCGACAGTTCCACACATAGAATTTAAGTTAACATTTGATATGCTAGGGCACCCAAGAATTAATAAATATAAATCTTGCCTTCAGAAAGACAATCTTAGCTCAGCAAAATTTTGGCCAATATAAGCACGCATAAACAATAGAAAAAGGTAAGACAGCAAAATCTTCGATAATATGATGCCATATCCAAAGAATATCCTTATGAGAACCAACCTTTCCATATCTTTGCCGAACAATCTTCACTACCACTGACTATAAGTCCAGATGCATGAGCATCAACAGAATAGACAATGGACGTGTGACCAACCATCTCCATGAGATGTTCTCCACTGAGGGCCCATAGCCTGATAGAACTGCCATTTAAAAAAAAATATTAGAATACCAACAATAGAAACAAATAGTCAAATATCACGGAATGAAAAGACAACAGAACCTATTTACACCTCTAGAAATCCAGGAATTAAGTAAGGAAATAATGGACAATTTTAGCATGCTAATAAATCTGTTCTCCAAGGCACACATACACATATAATGTGCATATTCATGCACTAGATAATGACATTCGTGAAATTAAACTACTAAGTACAATGTCTACATGCCTTGTTGTTAGCAGATCAGTAAAATGTATTCAATTTGACCAAAATCTTACCCATCATGTGAGGCCGAAAGGATTCCTAAATTTGGCATAACAGCGACACCTCGAACAGTATCTGTAAAATGTAAAAATTTACTTAACTATAAAGTAATACAAAAGACAAAACTTGGATGTATAAATAGTTACTTAACATGCATTTGCATCCAAACTAAAAGATGAATATATTAGATCTACGTTGTATTTATGGGTACGAACAGAGCTGAAAATACTAATGTTATCGAAAAGAAAGTAAAGCAAGACCTGTATGTCCAGCAAAAGTATGGACACAAGACTTCCCTTTCCAAAGCTTCAAAGTCATATCACTTGAACCTGAGTAACAAAAAGAACCTTAGAAAAGTTCAAAAATGAAAACAGGTTTCTCTGTCTATTCTTAAAAAAATAAAAGTTAAAATTCTGCATAATCTAACCTGGTTTCAATTATTCAATATACAATGGAAAACAACAGGAGTGGATATTATTTAAAAGTTGAAGACAGCTGGAGAAATAATGGATAAGAAAATAAAAGGATGTTACCCGTAACAAACTCCCCAGAAGGCAACTTAACAATTGCTTGAATTGCTGCTTGATGTGCATCCAAGGTCTCCACTTGTTGACCTCCTCTCCAGCGTCTCAATGTACTAAAATAAAGGAACCACATAAGAGCAGAATCGTAATGCAACGGACAAAATAAGCCCTAAATTAAGTTAATACAAAAAACCTATTCGTATATAAAAAGAGAGAGATCATCGCATAAATTTCACCAAAGATGAAGTTGAGAAACAAGAAAGTGGCCTCTATCACAAGCAATCTTCTATCATACTTAAAAACAAGCATATTTGGTGTGTGTCTATCTGCATGTCAACGTGTTTTTATGCACGCACGCCAGAAAAATAAGAAACATACAGATAAAGGCAAGCATTGTTAATAATTAATATACTATTTCCTTTTTACAGGATGAGCACTGTTTCAGGGTTTAAGAATCATTAAAGTTACCATAGTAGACTCAGACTTTCTTGAATTAAGTGAAATTCTGTTGTGTAGTTTTTCTAATCCTAGATTGGATATCTCAAATAAGCCATACTGTAAGATGTCAACTAATAACTATCAAAACACAATTTGCCAGATAATATAAAGTATACGAGAAACAAAAATCATCAACCAAAGAAATCTAGCATACCTATCTACGGAGACTGAAATAATATCTGAACCATCCAAAGCAATGCCTGTGACTTGCAATTTATGACCCTTGAGCAACTGCACATGCTCTCCAGTGGCAATATTCCAGACGAGAACAAGAGTATCCATTCCTCCAGATACAATACCACCCTCTGGAAACTCCTCATTTGGCGGGACCCAAGCCAACGGCCCCACAAAACTAGTGTGGCCCAGCAATATTCTCGACATGATGTAATCGCGCTTTTGTGATCCATCCAATGTCCAAAACCTAACAGTTCTATCTCTCGAAGAAGTCGCTATACCAGCATCGCCGCATATGCATATACCACGAGCCTAAAATTCGATGAAATTCAACAAAGAACCGTCAATGAACACACCAAATTTTCAGTTACTTGTCACGAATTCAAACCCAATAGATATTATTCAGCAACACATTCTGAATAGAAGCAATATTGAACCAAACATCAACCAATTTGCATTTTAAAAAACTAAAAGCACAGCTCAAGCAAATTAAGGGATCTTTCTAGCTAATAGCAAAATGTCTGGAAATAAAATAGTGTCAATCGAACTTCGAATTGCAACAAAAAAAACAAAAAAACAATCAGCTGCAACAAGGAAGATAGAAATCGAGAATTTATTTAATATTAAGAGAATGGGCGATCGTACATCGTCTTCGTGGCCTCGAAGTTGGCATCTCAACTGATACTCTTTAAAGTCGATATCCATGGATGATTGCAGCTAATTCTTCAATTTCGGAAAGAAATTTCTAGGGTTTAAGAAGGCTTTTCTTCCCAGAAATACAGACCGGAAAAAGCTTCGATTGAAAAAAAAAAAAAACACTCAAATTGGGGAATCGCTTGTTTTCCAAGTCTGTAATCCGAGTTGAGAACTCGTTGCTTCGTATTCTTGTATTGGGCCTATGTTGGGCCCCAGCCGGGATAGCACGAACTCCACATTGGTATGATATTGTCCAGATTGGGCCGGGCCCAACTGGTTTTGCTCTTGGGTTTCCCCAAAAGGCCTCATACCAATGGAGTTACTATCCCCTCTATATAAACCATAGATCTTTCCCATATTAAACCGATGTGGGACATTGTTTGCACCTCAACAATCCTCCCCTCGAACAAAGTACCACAGAGGTCGGACCACAAAGGACCACCGAGCCTCCCCTCAATTTGCGCCTGGGGCTCAACTGCATCTTTGTTCCGCGCACCAAGCCTCGAACAAAGGACCACATAGGTCGGACCACACAAAGGATCCCCGAGCCTCCCACCTGGAGCTCGTTGAGCCGCCTCCATTTGCGCACCGGGAGCTCACCATATTTGTTCGGCACCGAGTATTCGGGAATTTCACACAGATTCCGGCAATTTCCACCACATGGTTAGGTCTGG